TTAAGAACAGCTGCTCAGTTTAAGTAAATATTTGTAATAGTAGTTTAAGTACTTTTTAATAGCTGAAGCAGTATCAGTATACCCACGTACACTGCACTCAACTGAAGAGTCACAACTTAAGCTGGCAGAATCTTGCATTAAATTGGCACCAGTCTGTGTGCAGACAAGGCTTTACTTTTTTCTTTTTACAACAGTATTTACAGCTTCCTACACCACTTCTACCTCCTGAGCCACAACTCCTCTGTCTTGAGTGTACTACATTTTCCCCCTGCTCTCTTTGTAGTGCTATATTTTCTCTTTCCTGCCTTTGTACTGTTATTACAGAAAGAAAGAAAAAATGACGCAAGAAAAAACCCCCACATAAATAACGTATGCTATAATCTAAACATTTCGGTATGCACATCCCATTTTCTGATGATGGGCTCCTGCTACCACTGTATTTACATCTCCGTATTTTGTTAGAGAAGATTAGGAACAAAGCAGTCCCAGTGCCCTCTGTACCTGGGATCCTTAACTATACAAGCAAACACTATTCACTTTGTGAACAGGTCTCGGGTGTAGAAAGTTTAGCTGCAGAAGAAACGATGAAAACTGAAAGGGAATAATAAAAATGAACTTGTATCGCCAGAGCCAGGGCTCTACAAACCTGGCCTCCCACTTCCAGGAGGTGGCAGCGTTAAGTTCTCTCTCCATAATTCACCGCTGTAAAGCAGGAGAGGTACCACAAACATTGTGCTTTTCTCTTAATGAAACACTTCCCCTTCAAAGTCCCACTCAAACAATTTCTGTGAAACACTAAGACCAAATAAGCTATTACAATAGCTAGCTGTAAACTTGTACTATTTATCTGTCTACAGTTAAGTAAACAGAAGTTTAGTGCCTTGGTGTGACAAAGTGCTTTTTACTCAGGAAGTTCCACCACAAGAACTGTAGTAAGAAACACATTTCATGTTTATTTTTATCTAATAAACCCTCTTCGCTCTCCTGTGCACTCAGTTACTTTTTATCAATAAACGCAGTTAAGATGTTTAAGTAGCTTTAGCACCTGTGCTGAGTAAATTATCAGCTCATGTATTTCTTTTAAATCTAGCACAGTAAGTCAGCTGAACTTCAACAAAGATTTGAAGCACTGGTGAGTACTTAGTATGCTTATGACTGGGCAGTCTAAAATTTGGGATACTGCAAATGTCTATCTTCTTCCCCTCCTTGATGGATTCTTTTTCTATTTTAAAACTGCTGATACATTTGGTGCTGACTTCTATTTGATAATTAACAATAGAAGTATAGAAAAAAAAGTCTCTTTCAAGTGTTGCTCTACCTATCAAGCAGAAAACCTGAGTTCAGGTGCATGAGACATTACTGATACTGCTGATAAACCTTTGCATCAGCAAACTTCATGTTTGAAGTGTTCCTTTACTCCCTTGTTTACAGGGCAGCAGTGACTATAATGGACAAACATTGTTACAAATGCAATACATGGTATTAATTAGCGTAAATTTTTTTTTAAGTATAAAATCTCCCAGCAGGGTCAAATAAGGAGTGGACATAAACTGCTTTTGTGATTCCTTCTGGAAGAAATATGTTTGCATCATCCTGTTTAAAGTTAGTCCTCCTCCAATAATTCAAAATAATGCTTCCTATTCCAAGATGTATGTTAGTCTGCTAACAAAACTGAAACATTTCAGAAATCATTTTGGGTGGTGCTTCCCCACAAACACCTAGATGATCTTGCCAGATAAATGAGAGTCTGTTTTGCTTTTGTTATGAATATTACACCTCCTTTGACATGACCTAAATATTGGTAATTAACACTAGCTCACTTGACAAAGTCAGGATTTCTATCACAACTTGAATCTCTGACGAACAATGTTCCTACATCTCAACAATCCATATACTTGTATCAATTTGGAAGCTAGGATGACTTTTGAAATTCCAGGTAAGACTGCAGATTAAATAAATACCAGTTTTCCTACCAAAATAAAAAGCAACACTTCTGAAAGGCAATGTGACACAAGCCTAACTTCCTCTTGTATGTGCAGTTCAAATGCTGCCTGCAACTTTAAAAGTACTTGTACTTAACAGTCACGTATCAAAGCGAATTCAAGGTGTTTCCCACTCTAGTTATTAAATGAATAAATAGGATTATCTTCACTGGGAACATCAAGATGTTAGAACAGTGTCATTAATAAGGCTCCAGATTTTGGTGTACAGCCCTAACTCATCCCCAAAAAATCTATAGAAAAAAAAATTAGGAAGTGAAAAGACATGAACTAATGGGGTAACAGAGAAAAAGAAATCACTGCTCTATATAACTCCATACTACTAGCACCAATATCTTTTTTTTTTTTTTTTCAAATACAAAACAGGTTGAGAGGAGAAAAGGGGGCTTACTGGCAGGGTTATAGATGCAAATACGCGATATGCTCCTATCACCCAATACATCTGTAAGAGTGGCTTGATTTTCTTCTTGCTACTACTTAATAAAACTACTGTAATACGTAACAACAACAATCTGGTATATGACAAGTACAGAGTAAACATATAAAGTAAATCCATGTCTGAAATACGATAAACTGACTGATGGAAAGAGTATTACAGAGAGTAATTCTGCTAATCATGCTAAGTTTCCTTAATTCCTAAAGGGCCTCGTGTGCTGAAGTGACAAGGAAGGATTTGCAGAACATGGCTTGAAGCTCTAGGGAGAACGCAGGCTGTATTTTGAAATAGTGTATATGGAAGAACCCCATCCTTCGCCTCCTCTAGGTGACCTTAAGTCCAAACATTAGACACTTAGATGTCTGAACTAGCCATCTGAAACGTCTTTCATAATCAATATTCAGAAATAAGCATTTCTGAACAGTGAGTCACTTTACAGATTACATGTTTTGTCCACTGAAGGTGTTTTTCTTGACAGACTAGCTCAGATTTAGAGAGTTCTAACTTTTAGATACCGGAAGTGAAATGAGAGGACTCTCACGAATTTCCGTAATGCTGTAACATCTATGTTTTGAACAGCACGTAAAGATTTGTTAGATAAATAAAATCTTGCAGGATACTCTTAAAGATGATGCAATAGCAGCTTCTCAGGGAGCTTACAGCTCAAACCCATCGAATCAAAAAGCAGGACCCATTTTTTCACAAATACACAAACAATTACCTGGGAATTTAGTAACAGCACAGTCTCCACATATTAGTACAACTTACCTTAATAATAGCAATCTGAAGTTCTTCCATTCATTTGATATGAGAGCTCTTCATCACACGAACTAGGTTGTTTTCTACTTATTATTAAAGTCTGGTACATACACATTTTTTGAACCAATTTAACAATTTAGCTACAGGAATCCAATTTTCTACTGGAATTGGTTACATATGTATAACCTCCAGTGTGGTAAAACTTAAGAGCAAACCCCATTAAAAAAACCCCAAACTCACTGCCTCAAAACCTGTATTCTTATCTCCTAGAAAAGTATGTATAGCAATACGGACATTTAAAGTGATATGGTTATCAGACAGAAAGTGTCATAAAAATTGACATGGAAAATAAGCCCTTATAGTTTCATTTTACATCTTTCCTAATTTTAGTAATGTTTAAAACACTACTGTTTCTGACAAAAAAGCAGCTACAGTTTCTTATGAAAAAGCTTTAAAAATGCAAGTTTATAAAAATATGTATCTTAAGAGTTCACTATAAAAAAGGCACAGGGCCCAAGTAACAAAATAAGCAACAAAAATATGCAGGGAAAATTTACAACCATTTAAACATTTGATGTGGGTAAATACAACTAAAATATACCTAGTAACTCTACTATGTGCTGTAACAATAAACAGAAATTTAGGGTGGCTGTTCCCTCAGTGTTTAAAAATTACATTTAAAAAAATCTCACCTTAAAGATAATCTATAAACTTATCAGTTACTTTACATATAATGTAAGTGTTTAATAACTAGGTTTATTTCTGAAAAATGTAAAATTGGCTAAAGTGTGGTTAAAAAAGCTGTGAGAACTGAATTTCTGAATTCATTAACCTTCAAGTGATTAAGCATGAGACACCAGGTCTGTGTTTTGTAGATGTGAAATGTAAGATTTCATCTGAAGTCCCACCACTGCATTATAAAACTTAGCTGGAGTCAATCAAAAAATGTCATTAGCAGAAAGACTTGTTCAGGCTACAAAGCAGTATTTACTTACCTTTGTATGAGTTACAAGGATGCTATTCAAAACCTGCAAAAATATGCAAGGCAGTATCTCTGCCTAATAGCCACTTAAGATGTGTTCTTGTGTGTGTGGATAATGTGTGAAGTATGAACATATAAACAGAAGGGGCAGGGAGGGAGGGGGAAGAAAAAGAAGAGAAAAGAAAAAAATAGTACTGCCTCCCCCCCAAACTTAAAAGTAAAGAATGGTCCTCAAATTATTTCATATAAGGAAGAAAAGCAGCAGGAAGGACTTGGATATACTTGACAGTTAAAAGCTGTTTGAAGAAGTGTAAAGTATCGTTGGATACCACGTTGAAGATTTCATTCTCGGCACTAGCACTGAAAATGCAAGACCTGAGAGACAGGTGCCAAATCTAAATTACAAAAATACAATTCAAATTAGTACAGTCAATTGCTGATTCATGGTGCACACTGTGCAACCTTTCTGTAAAACTTAACATAAATGTATCAATACTTACCTTTTCTAGATTAGAAACAGTTATTGTCTTTATGGGAAAAATTTAAAGCTTAAACATGTAGTTTTCATCCAGAAATCAGCTGGGTAGATTGACAGGCTCCTAATCATACAACTGTCATATGATACAAATGAAACTTCTAAAAGTGCTTCCCATTTGTGTGCATCTCTGTGTGCGAATCTTTGAAGGTGGAGAAAAGTAGGTTGGTGCCACATTAAGAAAAAAACCCCAAATCCTAAACTCCCTAGTCTTGCAGAGCCAAGAATGGATGGGTATTCAAAGAAAATGTAAATGATTATTCAGGAATATCCCTATGCGATACATACATTTGAACAACAGTGAAGATGAAATGGCAGCAGTCCTTTCAGGCTTTACAGCATTGTAATTATGATCGCTTGCCCAGGACGGTGTGCTGTTTTCTGCTGCTGGCTCTTTAGCAATAGGTTGAGCGTTTGCCTCAGTCTTGGAAGTTGTCAAAACAGTCTTCTTCATATTCATCTCTCTTTTCTCAGGGAATTGTCTCTTTTGGTTTGAAAGAGGCTTAATACCTGCCTGTATGAGTAAAAGAAGCTTAATTACTAATAATCATCAAATACTTTGTATTTTAAAAACAAGCAGAGGTAGTTACATATATGGACACAGATTTCTTTTATATTAAGCTCCTGTAAATACACTTGAAATGATGTAATTTCACATTCAAGTCTATAGAGCAATGGTAATATACACTGTAACTTCCAGAAAAGAGAATGGCAAAGAAACCACCTCAAAACAACCATATTTACCATCAAGTTGTGGAGGGTTTTTTTGTTGTTTGTTTGAAAAACTACTGCCCATTTTATAGGGGTTTCCAAAGGAAAAGGAGGTGGTTTTGATTTCATCTTTTTGCTTCCAAAAGCACGCATACAATGCAGTCACATTAGTTTACAGTAATTCCAAATTACTGACCCAAACCCAGTAACTTGGGAGTTAAAAAAGGTAAAACTAATTTGGAATGAAATTAAAATAAAAAAGGTATACCACTTATACTTTTTTTCAAAAAAGTAAATTAATTTGGAATTAAAATAGTTGGGTTTTTTTTTTTTCCAAGTGTGCTGCCACCTAGAAGGCCCTTTCAATAAACTATCTTTCTATCTAGAGGCAATAATTAAGATTTTTAAAAAGTGACAGGAAAACATTTTATTGTCAGCAGAATTAAACAATGCTTTCAGCACAGAAAAAGGCAAGTGAACAAAAATAAAAAAAAGAAAATAGAAAGCTCCTCTTCAAATGACTTGGCAACTGTGCTTCAGGACAGCTGCTCTGGACCATGAACTTTAGCTTACCTGCAGCTGAGATTTTGGCATGCCAGGTTTTTCAGATTTTGGTTTGATCTTCTCTTTAGGTTTTGGTTTTGCATCTTTGCCAGCACTTAAAAACTTCATAGTGGCTGCAGCGTGTTTAAGAATGCAGTCATTGCTGCAATACACAGAATCAGGCTGAGCCAAATTAAAACAGCCAGGACCAATGCACTTCGATGCACCAGGAGCTTCAATTACCTATAGATTAAAATGGAGTGAGTTCAAACTTCAAAGAGGAAACAACAGAAACATACCTGTATAATATGAAGAAATGCTTACATATCACACGTGCAGACCGCAGCTGTGACTGTTCGTGGCTCGCACAATTGCCAGCGTGAAAACAATTTCCGTTTTGGATGTAACAGAAACAACCCATACAAATGTAAGAATTCCACTCTTGTAACACACTATTTTCAGAACATGTTGTATTTCCAAGCGGCTGGTCTGCTAGCAATGAACTAAGGGAGGCTGGTTTCCTAAATTTTCAGATCCCATAAGCATACAAATCTTTTTTTCTGATCCTCTACATCATGTGAGAATCTCCTTAACTCAGAACTGGTTTTTCAAGAGCGAGGATTCTAAAGCACATTTTACTTGTATATCACCATCAGCAGCTGTCCTCAACCATGCACACATGCAAAAGGAAGCACTCAGCTGTTCAGGTGTACAGATAATTCTTGCTTTAGAGGTTTACCAATTTTAATTTTACAAGTCCCCAACTTATATAAACACAGCCATTCTCCTAGACAATCTTGCCATAGCCTTACACATTGAGAAGGTTGCGTATGCAAGCTGTGTTTTCCTCTTACTTCACAATTGCTCTCCATTTATATCAAAGTGGTATATACTAAGCACTTCCTCTTCAAATGTTAAGATTTAGAAAATAGTACATTACTTGGAAACAGAGTACATTAGGTCAATGTCTAGAAATATCTGAAAGCTCTTTAGGCTCCAACACATCACCTCTAGGAATTACGCCTTTAGGCTCACTCTTCTAGGTTACTCCTAAAAATGTTATACAACTGACCTAACTACTGTAGCTCTAGAGAGCCTCTCCCCTATCAATAAACTGCAATTTGTAATTACCAAAAGTAAGTTTTTCAGGAATATTTCCAGTTAAAAAAAAAAAAAAAAAAATCATTTGCATAGCGTGGCTTATTTTTCCCCAATTGAAAGTTGGTAAAACAGCATTATCTGCTGCAATCTGATAAAACCTGCCTTTGGGAATTTTCCCTTAAAAATTCAACTTATGCTTTAGAATACTTTTCCATCATGTACACACTTAACTATGAAGCACAAGAAATAAGTATCAATTCATGTTCCCTAAAAATCATCTCAAACTTCAGATTAACCGAGCTGTCATTTTTAATTAAGGGCATTTACTCAGATTATGACGAAACTTTCAGTTTCGATGTCTGTACTTCTACAATTTCTAGGAGTTTTAATCACAAACCAAAATTCTACGGCTATAGGTGCTTATGGACAGCAACAAAAAGGAGTCTCTCTCAAAGAGCCTAGAATACTGGTGTAAGAGAACAGATAAACTGAGTAATTACGCTGTTTGGTCACTGTACCAGAGTGACTTCAGCACATCAATACATGAAATAGCAATGATCTTTTTGCCTAGAATGGGCAGGGAAATCAGCAGCGAGGGAGCGGTGCTTGTTTACGCAAGGCATAGAGGGATCTAACTGAGGCACGGGGGACAGCATGGACTAAAACACAGCCAGACTTCACCGTCCACTTCTCTCAAAACATGGTACCACCTGGCAAACACAAATAGAGCAGTCCCACTTCCATTTCCAAATGCCAAAAGAATACCTAAAATATCAGCAGTTCTTCCGTAAGAGGCAATGAGTTAATGATACTTATGTTGTTCTTTCACTAAAGGAGAGGTGCCCAACATGTTCAAGTAACTTGTTAGCATGCTAATAGCAAAGAGTAATTGCCGATACTCAGAAGCAGAACTTAAAATTAATACTAGCACTGTCAGTGAAATACAGACCAACACCAGGATTGGACTCTCAAAAAACATTTCCGTGTACAAAAAAGTACAAATGTATTTGAAACTGTGTTTCAAAATATTTTTGAGAAAAATACTGTTTTCTACCCATTTATCTTAAAATAGTAAATATTAACATACTAATCTCAAACTGTTCTGATCTATACATTAAGCTCACTCTGCTGATATGGGTAGCTCTTTAAATTTAAATTGATTAGAAGTGTGGGGGGGTGTTCCATAAAGGTTTTGTAGAAAATGGACTACAACAGAAAGATTCCTCCAGGGAGACAGTTAGACTCAACCTTGTAACACTTATTCTAAGGATGTTTTCAAAGTGTAAAGACTAGGCATCAAAGAACAACTTCATTCAAAAAATATGCAAATAGCTGTAGCATTCTAACAGCAAATACTCTAAACATGCTCTTTGAGTCACAGTAAGGAGAAAAGGAAAATGTTCCAAGACGTTGGCATCACTACAGTAGCCTGGGCAGTACAAAGACAACCAGTGCATCATGAAGTTTTTAAATTTGTGTACATTGAGCTGAAGAAGCTTCTTTGCCTGTATTTTGAATTGGGCATGGAACTTACTATTACAAAACCTAAGCTTCTTTTATATTTCCTGCCAGAATCTGCAGTAATTCCAAACACATTTTTATGTTTAAAAAAGGCAGTATGAAACAATTCTCTATGCACCAATAATCTGAAGAAGCATCAGGACAAAAATCAGAACTTCAAAGACTAATTGGAAGTACAGAGGAAGTACAGCTGGAATTAACTCCAACAGCCTCTTCTCAATGTTAAGTAAAAAGTTTCACTATCATTGAAAATGTTCAAAATTGTTTGAGATTATTTCAAAGCTAGTATAAACCAGTCCAGAATTTTAGTGTGTTTATTAAAAGAACACATTATTTGACTTCCAAAGCAGTATTTATAAAGGGCAGAATAGCACAAAGCACGTAGCGTGGCATTTCCTTACACCTACATGAAACTTTTAAATTCCCCACTTCAAAATAACACTTCCTTATTTTTAGTTCCTGTACTGGTAGGACCATGGATAAACTTCTGCTAAACGGTAATATTTAGCAGGTTGTTCAGCTTCATATTTAGCTTTAAAAAAATCAAGTCAGATTTACAGCTGTAAAAGTAATCCAATGTCTCAATCTACGCAGTGAAACACAAAAAATAAGAAAATAAGAAATTATTAAAATACTTACAGGTTGAAATATCTTTAGTTTTTTCTTCCCGCTTGGATTTGCAGCTTTTTCAATCCTACCCTTGATTCCTTGGTCCTCAACAGATTTTTGTTCGATTGTTCCTATGCTTGTGAATTCTGTGCCATCCATATTTACTTGCCCCGCTTTAGCTTCCTGCTGGTCTATTTCTGAAACAGGCTCATCCTGTCCCTGCAGAATGGTGCAGTTTGGACAGATATAGTCCTCACCATTCCTTTCCAACAATCGCCCTCGAGCCTCAGAAATACCCACACAGTCACCATGAAACCATTCCTCACATCTATCACAACAAATCATAAACCTGAAAAAAAAAAACAAAACCCAAGGAACAGTAAAACATTGTGAAATGAAAAGACAATTAATGCTCAGTAGCTATTTCAAGCAGCAGATCATAAGTACCCCACTAAAGTACCAGTATACTGTTCTGCCTCACTGTTCATTTCGGTATTCACTTTTTTTTTTTTATCCCATTTTAAATATTTGTTATAAACTCCCCCCCAAACTTCAAGCAAACCCAACAGCTCATTTACATATATTCAAAAAGTAAGCATTAGCCTTCGGTTTGATTTTTCATCACAAGAAAATTCTAACTACTTGCACTGCGTTTTAAGTTGAATTGGGCATGGAACTTACTATTACAAAACCTTTGCCTACCTGTTGTTATGAGGCTGACGACAAATACAATACAGTGCATTTGGGTCATAAATCTCAGACTCAGGTTTGCTTTTGGGCAGTTCTTCGGGTTCTTCATCTGTGACCCCTTTTGCGCCAAGGGCAGGCTTTACCTCCTTCTGAACCTGAAGATCTTCAGTGTCTTCCTCAGACACAACCACTTGACTTGCAATCTCAGTGCTGTCTGCAGTCTCGGGCTCTTGTTTGACAGGCAGCTCAGACTCCACTTGTTTTTCAGACTGCCCATCACCTGTTTCTGTAGGGTCTTGTTCTGTATTTCTTTTCCTCAGGCGGTTTTGTATATCTTTCAACGTCAGCTGCACAGGTTTCTGTTCAACACGTTTCTTTCTTAGTCGATTCTGCAGTTCCTTTAGAGTTAATCCATCACTATCACTATCAGAAGTATCATCTTCCTCTTCTTCCTCCTCCTCTTCCTCCTCTTCTTCTTCCTCTTTTGTGCGTCTGCTTTTAGAGCCTTTCTGTTCCTTACTACTCCTAGTGCCAATCCTCCGAGTTGCAGGTTTTGTATCTGGAGTGCTCTCAACACTGTCTTCTGAAGCAGTTTCAGCATCTGTGGCTGGACAGGATGCTGGTTCCCCTGAATCTTCCAGAGCAGTAGGAACACTCCTCCTTCCTCTGCGTCTTACCGTTGTAAGAAATTCTTCCCCTCTTTCCGTTCGCTTTGGTTGCCGTCCACTACGCCTGAGGTTTAAGCTTTGCTGCTGCTGTTGAGGCTGTTGTTCACTAGAGTCCACATCAGCCTCTCCTGCACCTTCTCGCTTAGCAATTGTAGTCCTTCGAAACCCCCAGGTTTTCCTGAACTCTTTACTTGTAGGCTTGATGGTTTTTTGTTCCTCCTCATTGCTTTGCTCACCTTTCTCATCCAAAACTGATGCTAAAAACAAAGGAACAGTTATTAAACTGATGCTGAAGGAAGATGGGTTTTTCTTAAAAAAATTTTTCAACACAGTATTATTTTCTTTGTGGTAATCTATATGTATCTCCACCTCATTTTATGACCCTGAAAACAGATAAAATGCTTTCTTGTGAATGTAATACAACAGCAGTAGCAATTAAATACATCATTGAACACTGTGCCAATATAATCCAGCTGTTACAGACTCTTCTGTTATTTAAATATATATATACACACACACAATGGACAAATAAGCACATTTTCTGCTCAATTTAAAAGGAAGAAATCTTACCAGGAGAACTATTTTCCATGTTGTCAGTATTAGATTCAGATTCTAATGGCACTGGCTGTGAACTTACAGCTTGTTCCATAGTACGGACGCCACTGTCCCCACCCTGAAACGCTGAAGAGAAACATAAGGCTCAAAACTCAAGATTCAAAAATACTCATGGCCTAAGTATTTATTATATATTCTGATGTAATCTCATTATGTTATTGTAACAAATACCTAACTCGAATTTCAAGCCACTAATAGTCACTGAATATCAACAAAAAGTTGACTGAATTCATTCAAAGTACTAAGTTAAATATATGGGTTCGGACACTATACTGATGTATTTTATTAAATAGCCGTAGGATTGCTGATAGTTTCTGGTACTTGTCAAAAAAATCCTTTCATGGTAACAAACCTATTCCCTGGGGTTTGTCTGGGGAAAAACCTATAGCAGTTCGACTCCTTATGTGGACACAGGAACCATGCATGCACCAGTATGAAAGACCATGGAGCAGAACAAGGAGCCATCCAAACAGACAGTACAGACACAGTGACTGTTTCAAAGGTGAGGATGGGATTTGATATCAATAACATTTTCTGGTAGGAAGGACTGCTGATTACCTGCAGCAGGATAAGAAACAAGGTAGAAACAGCAGGCAGTTTAAAGAAATTCAAAGCTACTTCTGTCTAGATAATACAGGATTGGTCAAAGAATAATGAAGGTTTGGATTTTAAGCAAAATGTAAAACCAGAGAAACACCCTAGTCTTCCTTGTTAAAATAAACTAGGTCTATATCTTGTCTATTAAATAGTTTAGCTGCTATTTTTAAGTTGTTTCAGAAACACTGGTGGGTATTCAGGATAAAGTAACACACTTTCCCTTCAGTATTTAAAATAAGGTTTATCGGATAGAAAAAATGACACAGAAAAGAACACAATAAAAAACTTCTCAAACATCTCTCTGGGAAAAAAAACCAAAACCAAACTGTGTTGAATGACACTTGAGAAAGGCTGCTTCTTGACATGGTTATTTATAAAAAAAGTTTTCAGCCTATATTATCTACCAGAATGACAAAAAAAAAAAAAAAAGAGAAAAAAAAAGATTCAGCCAGGAACCTCCAACTATCATAGACAGAGCCATAAGGGGGAGTAGAAATCTGTGCTGACAACCAAGATCCTTTTCTCTCAAAAGTCTTTTCCAGCATACTATGAGACTCTCTCATTTGAGCAGAAAGAAGCACATGAGAGAAATAAATGTAAGATCTGAGACTGCATTCTGAGTAATTCAGGAATAACCTCGCTTGAACAAGTATTAACATTAGTATTACACCACGGTGCAATGTTTTAAAGGAGTTGCATGCCACACAAACGCTCTCACAAATGAATGCAGAAACTATGGTTTACGGTCATTGCAATTACATTGCTCATGTGAAACGGCAACAGGCAGTAGGAAGCATACTGCAATGAACCAGGGAAACAGAATCTACTTTAAAAACAACAAGAAACACCCCCCCAACTCTTCCCCAAGAATGTTTTTGTAGTAGTTATATGCCTATTCCTGGCTCAAGAATTGCACGGGTAAGCCAAAAGGGAACATTAACAGAATTCCTAAATAACAGTACCTGCTGAAAGAATCAAAGCTATTTCTAACAGCTGTAGCTATTACAGCTACAAGTTTTCAGAGGCATCCTTGAGCAAACTTTTCCCAATCTTGCAGTGTACACTGGTGACACGTGCCTCTATTTCATATACTGCATTAGCTGCATTACTGTTCTGCTTTATCAAACACCATCTCTCTATTGTGCAACTCCTCTGCTTTCTAGTATTATATTTAACAATGCTACAAAAGAAACATAACTGTCAATGCTATGGAAACAAACATCCATGCAGATATGTTAAAAAAACGAATGCTGAAGTTGTAACTTAAAGAGTCATTTCAGTGAGATACTATAAATGTTGCTGTAAAAGCAGCAGACTCCAGAATGTCAATTTAAGTAGTAACTGATTACTTTTAACATTACAGACAGACAGAAAAGTGAATTGTAAGCCTGTAGCACACAGGTAAAAAGCTGAAACTGCTTCAGTCCAGTATGAAATTCCATTAAATTACCCCCTTAAAAAAAAAAAAAAAATCACTAACTCAGGTTTGGGGTTTTTTTTGTTGTTTGTTTTTTTTTTTAAAACACCACCAAAATTACATTCACATCAGAAAGGCTACAATGGAAGTAGGGGAACAAGTCAAAACAGTTAAAGTTTACATCTCTGTTTACCTTAGAAGACAAAGAAATGTTAAAAAGCTACAAGTAGAGGTATTCCAAATTCTGAGATTTAAATTCCCAATCAAATGTAAAGAAGCAAAAAGTCTCTTCAATGTCCTCTATATGCTTTACCTGACACAGCATTAGAGGTTCGAACGGTTTTTCCCTGCAGAGCTGAATGAAAAGGAGAGCCAGAGGAGGGCAGCAAAGGATCAGAGTCATTCAGCATTATCCTTCCAGCACATGCTGAACTTCTTGATTCAGAAGTGCCAGACTGAGTCTCTGAGTGGTCAGCAGGGCCAAATACTACCAATCCTCCTTTTCCTGCTGGCTCCTGGAAAAAAAAAACAAACAACCAAACACTCAGAAAAAATAAGGCAACCATATATTTATGAACTTATCTTACTCTGTTTAGATAAACTGGTAATTGTTTTGCCTGTATTACATTATAAAGCAAATTCCGTTCTTTTGCCTTCTTGACAGTTTTCTACTTTCAGGACACTGAAACCGGAAAGAAAAGTCAAAGTAAAGCAATCCCACCTCCACTACTTACCACCAGTTGAGACCTTTGAAATAACTACAAGATGTAACTGTACTCTACTCAATTCCTTTAGATCCCATTAAGACTTCCAGAACAGTAACAACCTGTAATCAACAAGTCTATTCCAGTTTGTACTAAATTTCATCACAGAAGACATTTGCAGCTTTAAGGATTTCAATCCAAGTGGCTACTCAACAGAATTCCTAAATAACAGTACCTGCTGAAAGAATCAAAGCTATTTCTAACAGCTGTAGCTATTACAGCTACAAGTTTTCAGAGGCATCCTTGAGCAAACTTTTCCCAATCTTGCAGTGTACACTGGTGACACGTGCCTCTATTTCATATACTGCATTAGCTGCATTACTGTTCTGCTTTATCAAACACTATCTCTCTATTGTGCAACTCCTCTGCTTTCTAGTATTATATTTAACAATGCTACAAAAGAAACGTAACTGTCAATGCTATGGAAACAAACATCCATGCAGATATGTTAAAAAAACGAATGCTGAAGTTGTAACTTAAAGAGTCATTTCAGTGAGATACTATAAATGTTGCTGTAAAAGCAGCAGACTCCAGAATGTCAATTTAAGTAGTAACTGATTACTTTTAACATTACAGACAGACAGAAAAGTGAATTGTAAGCCTGTAGCACACAGGTAAAAAGCTGAAACTGCTTCAGTCCAGTATGAAATTCCATTAAATTACCCCCTTAAAAAAAAAAAAAAATCACTAACTCAGGTTTGGGTTTTTTTTTGTTGTTTGTTTTTTTTTTTAAAACACCACCAAAATTACATTCACATCAGAAAGGCTACAATGGAAGTAGGGGAACAAGTCAAAACAGTTAAAGTTTACATCTCTGTTTACCTTAGAAGACAAAGAAATGTTAAAAAGCTACAAGTAGAGGTATTCCAAATTCTGAGATTTAAATTCCCAATCAAATGTAAAGAAGCAAAAAGTCTCTTCAATGTCCTCTATATGCTTTACCTGACACAGCATTAGAGGTTCGAACGGTTTTTCCCTGCAGAGCTGAATGAAAAGGAGAGCCAGAGGAGGGCAGCAAAGGATCAGAGTCATTCAGCATTATCCTTCCAGCACATGCTGAACTTCTTGATTCAGAAGTGCCAGACTGAGTCTCTGAGTGGTCAGCAGGGCCAAATACTACCAATCCTCCTTTTCCTGCTGGCTCCTGGAAAAAAAAAACAAACAACCAAACACTCAGAAAAAATAAGGCAACCATATATTTATGAACTTATCTTACTCTGTTTAGATAAACTGGTAATTGTTTTGCCTGTATTACATTATAAAGCAAATTCCGTTCTTTTGCCTTCTTGACAGTTTTCTACTTTCAGGACACTGAAACCGGAAAGAAAAGTCAAAGTAAAGCAATACCACCTCCACTACTTACCACCAGTTGAGACCTTTGAAATAACTACAAGATGTAACTGTACTCTACTCAATTCCTTTAGATCCCATTAAGACTTCCAGAACAGTAACAACCTGTAATCAACAAGTCTATTCCAGTTTGTACTAAATTTCATCACAGAAGACATTTGCAGCTTTAAGGATTTCAATCCAAGTGGCTACTCAGTGGAATAATAAAAATTTATAGCTGAGCTTCAGAATTGAGGAATATTCCTTATCATTGTCCCTTTCACTTATACGGCTTGCAACACAGCAAATTTCAGAAGCTTTATTTCAAGGACAGCAGACTACATCAGTAACAACACATTTTCCCAAAAATTAACCCTCGGAGAACACTTCAAAATCACAAGGCATTCATTTAAATCATCTGAACTAGAGCAATTGTTTAGTCCAGGGGTCCCAATTCACATGCAGAATGGCAACTGAACATCAACAACGACTCTTTGCCTGACTGCTTGCCTCC